GTCTGACAAGATTTGGTTTAAAATTTTTTGAATTAATGTTCATTAATGATGTTAGCCTGTAGCTTTTTTCTGTGTTTTATCTTTCCTTCATTTGGGTATCAGGACTATATTTGTCTTATAACAAAGAGTCTAATGGGAGGCTTTCTTTCTCAGTTTCTGAGAATATTTTGTGAAGTGTGGGTACTAACTGTTCTTTCAAAGTTCCATCAGGACTATGAGTGTTTTCTTGGGTAATTCTCATACACCTAGATATATTTCCCTTTCTAAGATTGGATTATTTATCATTTCTCTATTTTCTTTTGTTTCCAATTTATTTATTCCTTTCTAATTTTTAGTTTCTCCTTTTTTTGTGCTTTTTTTTAGGTTTGTTGGCTTTCTAATTTTTAAAATGCATATTTAGTTCACTAACCTTATCTTCTTCTATTTTGTTAATGTATGTTTGTAAGGATATTATTTCTTCTGAGGACTGGTTTAGCTGCATCCCATCTTTCTAATATTGTTTCATCATTATTATTTTCTTGTACATAGTTATTGTTTGTATGATTTGTTTTTTGACCCACTCATTATTTACGATTTCATTATTCAGTATCTAACTTTTGCTTGTGATTACAGAAACAATTATTATTTTAAATGTGTTATGGCTTGTAAAAGATGCATTAACTATTTTGCCTTTTTACATTTGTTGGCAATATCTCTGTGCTCTAGTACATGATAAATTTTTGTAAAGTTTCCATGTGGTGCTGAGAAATATGTATATTCTTTTGCTGTCCCATTTAGAAGATGCCATAATTCTTTCAACTCAGGTATCTTTATGAATTGGTTCAGTTTCATATTTTCCCTTTTGTTTTCTTTTCTGTGCGATTTATTCAAAACTGATAGAGGGATACTGAAGTCACAATTGTATTACTGTCTATGTCTTCTGGGTCAGCTAGTGTTTCCTTTGTGAATTTGGATGCTAAGGCAGTTGGAACATATAAATTTACTACTGATATTGTTTTGTTGTTCCTGATTCCTTTCGGCATAATATAGTTTCTTTGCTTATACATTTTTATTTTTGAGTGTTCTTTTTTTTTTTGTTTTGTCAGCATGATTGAAACTCCTGCTTTTTTTTTTTTATTCACTTGGTGAATGGTAAAAAAAAAAAAAATCCATACTTTGATTTTTATTTTGTGCATGCCTTTGTTTTTTAAATGTGTATTTTGTAAGCAAAGGATTGTAGGGTTTTGTTTTCTTATCGAATGTCACTTTTTTGTTTTATTGGATTATTTAATTCATTCACATTTAGAGTTATGAGACTGAGATTTATATTTTCCTCCATTTTCCTCCATATTAGGGCTTTTAACCAAGATATGATTTTTTCCCTCTTCTGCTATAAACATAGTACTGTGTCCCTTCAATTACTTTACTTTCATCTTTTTTTAAGGTGGCCCTTTTCCCACTGGCTCACTTCCCCTCACCCCCTTCCTCTTGTACCCCTTTCTCTTTGGGGTTTCGTTTATTCCTTTTTCTCTCCTGCTTTTATCTGGTTATATAATTCTTCCTTCCTCTTTTCCTCTCTGCCAGTCAAGTAGTTTCCCTCTTTCTCTTTTCCTCTTCAAATAGTCTTCCTGTTCATTATTTTTTTTTAATTTCATTTTTTCATGTGTTAATTTTGGAAAAAAAAAGATTTCTCTCACTCACTTCATTATCCACCCTCTATTTCTTTCTATTCTAGATCCTTATTCTCTGATTCATGACCCCTATTATTTATATGGTCACTTTTTTTCCCCTCTGTATTTCTCATGCAATCAAAACTTCCAAGGTACCCATTCTAGGCTCTCCTTTTCAAGTGGTTTCTGCCATTGCCTTACAGAGCTTGTCCAGTGGATTTCTATTTTCCTTTGTGCCTTACCTCCAGAACAATGCCAATTATCATATGTGTCAAGGAGGAGGCTGCTCCATGCTAGGGTTCCTCCCTCATCAAGTCCTTGATTAGGCAGCCTATCACTTATCTATGCCTTCCCTTGGTAACCTTTCTTTTCCTCATTTTCCTTAAAGTCTGCTTCCTGAATCCATGTTCTCCCACTCTCCTAGATGGTGTGTGTGGGGGGGGGTGCCAGATATTTCTAGGAGTTCTGACTCCTACCTCCCCTCCCACCCAGATAGGAAAAGCAGACTTTTCAAGCACAAATCACACAGACCACACCCAGTTGAAGGTCTCCATCTCCCTTCCAAGACCACCTTTCTTCACCCATAGGAGTATTCATCAGTGGAAGCCCCTTCCACCACCAATGCAATTGGTGCAGTTCCTCCCTTTTTCAATCCTTCCTTTTATCCTCCTCACCCACTCCCCTGTAGGTTCTTCTCTTTCTGAGATCCAAAGGTTCCTTCCCCTCATTGCTAACTCTTGATTTGACCACAGAACATATTCCTCTATATACCCCTTTTACCCTCCCCCTTTGTTATGTATCATCCCATATTGTAATATCACACACACACACTCACCTGTAGGCAGGGTGTTGTCAGGTTCAGTCCATAATGCCCCAGGCTTACCTCTTTACTGTTACCTCCACAGGTTTCCACTTTCACCCCTGTCTCTTTGTTGAAATAAATGTCTTATAGGTCTTTCTGCTGTCATTCTGCTATTGTTGTAACCTTGGCTGCTTCATTTACTCAGTCCTCATGCATTTTTATTGTTTGGGGTCTTCATGAAACAAATAATCTCTTTATTTCAGGTTTTCTTTCTAAAATTTTTCAAATACCTCTTTATTTTTGAACATTCCTCTTTTTTTCATTTATGGTTAAGCTCAGATTTGTAAGGTAAATCACCCTGGGCTGCATCATGAACTCCATTGCTCTTTGGAACACATTATTCCATTCCCTTCTATGTTTTCTGATGGATCCAGAATAGTCTTGTGTTATTCGAATTCCCTTTCCTTTCTCTTTGAAGCTCTTTCTTCTTATCACTCAAAGAACTTGTTTCCGACCTGACTTGTTAAATTTAACCGCTATGTGTCTTGAAGTTGGCAGGCTTGTTTTTTTCCCCCTAGAGGTGGTCTGTGAATTTTTTCAATTGGTACTTCATTTTCTACTTTCAGGAGTTCTAGGCAGTTGCCTTGTGTTGTTTCCTGCATTATTGGAATTAAGGATTTTTGTCCTGTCATGGTCTTCTGGGAAACCCATGATCCTATATCTCTACTCAGCCTGTCTTTGTTTTTCTTGCATATTTTCTTTTGAAGTTATTGGTTTTTTGCTTCTCTTTACTTCTGGATATTTGCATTCCTAGTCTGTTCTCTCTGTTGTTTCTTTGGTGACTCTTGCCATTGCAGATTGAAGGTTTTCTATTCTGCCCACTATTTTTACTATGCAGAACTTGAAATTCTGCTCTCATGATTCTCATTTCTCTTTTCAACCACTCAGAAACAGCATATGATAGTTCCATGTCCTCCTGACATTCAACAGGTTCTTCTTATTCATCAAGCGTTGGATCGTTTTCCTTTGTTGTGCAATGTTTACTCATGTATGGCTTAACTCATTTACTAGATCTGGAGGCCGTGTTTCCTTCTGTTGTTAATGTTTTCATTGTTGATTTATCTGCTAGTGTTTAAGGTCTTTGAGTTTTCTTCCTGAGATCTTTGGTAATTTCAGTCTTTTCTCTCCTCCCCCCACCCCTAATTTTCCCTATTCATTTTCTGCGTTCCTTAGGGACTGGTCCTCAGTGTCTCAACCTTCTTCCACATTGGGCACCTCAATGTTCACCAGCCCAAGCCTCTGTCCCCAGTGACTTTCTGGTGGTCAGTACTGGCCCCAGCTGGACGCTGTGCTTTCCCTCAGGTTTAGTAAAGTGATTCACAGCCCCAACTTCTCACTCCCCTACACAGAGTGGCCTAACCCATTTCCTCTGGTCCTCAGTTATGTGGCCCAGCACTGGCAGTTCAGAGAGCTAGCTATAGGGTTATCTGCCTCTACACCAGTAGAATTGCCATGCTGGCATTATGGGATTATCTGCCCCAGCATGGGCAGGATTGCCAGACTGGTGCTACAGAGTCATCTGCCATGATACTGTTTGTCACAATTTGAGGAAACTTCTGCATCCTGAAGCTGGGGTCTCCACAGCACTGGGAAGAGAGAGGGGGGACCAGGGTGAGGGATAGGGTTTTGTTGCAAGCTCTGCACCATGTATCAGGTGCTTGGTTCTGCTAGCATAGCCTTGTTGCTGGTAGCATAGGAGGTAGGGGAGGGGTGCTGAGTAAGTTCTGGGTCAGTGAATATCACTTCATGGTTTGGGGTGTTTTTAGTCTTCTATTACATTTAAATTTTCAATCTTCTTTTAAATTCAGCTAAAGTTGCTTTATCTTTCGTGTGTAATTTCTGCTTTGGAAAGGTTTGGGAAGTTGAAGGGATCAGAAAAAATATCTAGTTCTCCATTTAGCTGTTCATGCCACTTACGTTTATTCTGTCTATGAAAGTCTTTCAAATGCAATTTTGTTAACTGCAGCGACTGATTTATTCAGTTAAAAGTTCTGAAGTTGTGGTCAACAAGAACACTATTCCATGTTGCCATAACCAACTCAGGGCCAACAGGACTTTGCTTCAGGGTACCCACATCCAGTAATGTGCTTCTTCAGTTTGGGCGGGGGGAGACACCTGTAACTTCCTCCTTGGGCAAACATCATCCCAAATTTCTCTGCAAGCCCTGGATCATCTCTGTTGTCCAGAGTATTGTTATTGTGCTTCCCCTGTTTCAGAGCCTGCTTCTTCCACCCCACTTGGACCCTCGAAAGAGTAAAAGTTGGTCCATGTTCTTTTCTGTCTAAATTTCTTCTTTGAATTCTTTTTTTTTTTTTACTGAATTTCAATCCTAATTTCTTTTTATAAAAGTTTTCTTTTTCTTTTGAAATTTTTTTAAATTTTCTGGAGGGAAAGGGGAGGGAGAGAAAAGAGAGGCTTGTAAGGCCAAATTATAAAATCAGAAATTGATAAGTGACAACAAAGTCATTTTTTTTCACTTTCTTTCTCAGACTCTCATTGTACTTTGCCAAAGGTCTATGCTGCTGAAGACCATGCTTCTGAAGTTTCCCTGCAGCTTGTCCTCCACAGTCATAGGGACTTCCAGGACATAAAGACCCATCATCCTTTACTTAGGAGGAATGTTGGAGTTAGTCACATGCACATGCCCTTCCTTATCATCTTGGGGCCTGGCTTGTCATGCTATATCCTTCAGTAAATCCCATTTGGATAGGTAAGTTATGTGTTTTTCTATTCTTAATTTTTTTCTGGTGTGGTAGGAACACTTAGTAAATAGTCATCCATAGAGGGTATTTTCTCCTAATTATTAGAAAAAAACAAGATGGAATGGCTCTGCCTTAACTTATCCACCCACTGTAGCATCTACATCTTGTCAAGTCTCTAGTCCTCAGTGTAGGCCTTTAGGCCTTCATCTCTAGTTTTCTAACTCTAAGGTTCCAAGTCTCTGTCTTTCTCCTTATATCTTTTATTTTACTCTCTGTCTTGATTATTCTTTATTTAACTCCCTCCATCTAGCTCCCTCTATATCTTCCTAACTCCATCTCTCTCTCTTTCTCTGTTTACTCTATGAAGCAATAGAGATCATAAAGATCTCCCTTTATGTGTATATCTACATCTCTCTGGATCTTTCAATGTGTATAGTTCTCATCTCTATCACTTTTTTCTGTGTATGTAAAACTCACTCTGTGTGCGTATATCTGTTTCTATTTCCATATATATATATTCCTCTTTGTATAATATATATTCACACATATGGGTATGCATACCTATGTCATCTTTAACCTTATTCACTTCTCTATTTAGTTCTGTCTCTACGTACCTCTATCTCTAATTCATTTCTAAGTATCTCTCTATGTATCTCTCTCTAACATGGATATAGCATATGTTTGTGTGCAGATATATGCATGTGGGTACTCATATGTAGTATGTATTAATATATAAGACATTATTGTAATAGTCCTCTGTATATATATTTGTATACACAGACACACTTCTTGTTTATCCATTGTTCTGGGCAAATTACTGAATTATCTGCCTGGTATCACCCATGATTTCAGACACCACTGATGCATAGAGTTCTATTTGTAACAGTAAGGTACCTTTCCTGAGCCTCTCAACCGCTAGTGTTTTCCCTCCCAAAATAACTTTATATTTATTTTGCATATCCTTTGCATTTATTCAGATGTGGTCATGTCATTTATCTTGATAGAAGGAAATATCTTTGAGGCCAAGGACTCTCATGCTTCTCTGCATCTATCCTGGACTCCTTTATATGATTAGACTTCAGTCTCAGTCTTGGACATTAGAGCCCCCTATGTATCAGTCTTTATCATTATGAAATGAGTATTATGAAACTATAAGTGCAGTCTATATTTGGGGAGAATTTTTTTCCTAAGTAGAAGTAATTTTTTTAAAATATAGTTTACCAGGATCTTTTGTCTTGGATGCTAAGGTAATAATTTTCTTTGAAATATAATTGCTTGTAATTTCAAACTTTTGGTATGCAAGCTATAATTTTCTTTTTAAATTAAATTTTATTTATAAAAGAAAGGCAAAATTCTTGGAATAAATACATATAGTCAAACAATAAAGATGACCACATTGGCCATCTCAAAAAAATGTTTGTCTTATTCTGTATTTGTAGTCTATCGCCTAGGTGGGCAGCATTCTTCACCGTTGGTCCTCTGACATGGTTGGTGATTGCAATTGATCTGAGTTCTTAAGTCTTCCCAGTTTTCTATGGAACCATCTCTCTCTTATAGCACAGTAGAATTCCACCCTTTATATGCCATAATTTGTTCATTTATGCCTCAAGTGATGGTCACTCCCTTAATTTCCAGTTGTTTGCTACCACAAAAAAAAGAGGTGCTACAAACATTTTTGTGCATATAGGTCCCTTTCTTTAACCTTCTTGGAGTATAGACCTAATAGTGATATTACTGGGTCAAAAGAGCATGTACAATTTAGTAGCTGTTTTGTTAGCAATCCAAATTGCTTTCTCTCATGGCCAGCCCATTTTTCAGCTACACCAATAGTGTATTTTCTTTTTTCTTTTTTGCTAGACAATGGGATTAAATGACTTGCCCGTGGTCACACAGCTAGTAAGTGTCAAGTATCTGAGGCTGGATTTGAACTGAGGTCCACTTGACTCCAAGGCCAGAGCTCTACCCACTGTGCCACCTAACCACCCCCTAACATTCCTATTTTCCCACAGCACCTCCACCCTTTTCCGTGGCAACTTTGCTGGAGTAGTTTTTATTTATATTTATTTAATTATTAGTGAATTGGAGCATTTTAAAATGTGGCTGTTGATAGCTTGGATTTCTTCCCTTGAAAACTGACCATTTATATCATTCAGGTAATGGTTATTATACTTTGACATTTGTTTCTTATTTGACTTAGATATAAGACCTTTACCAGAGAAATTTGCTGCAAAAGATATTCCCCAGATAACTGTTTTCCTTATATTTTAACTGCATCGGTTTTATTTGTGGAAAAACCTTTAAAATTTTATATCAAAATTATGCTTCGATTATGAATTCCCCTATCTATAGTTCATAGGCTAATTTCTTCTTTCCTCCTCTAATTTATGATGTCACTCACACTTTGTAGAAGTAATGTACCTACTTTTAGTATGTCTTAACATATAGTGTGAGATGTTGCTCTATACCTAGTTTCTGACAGACTGCTTTCCAGTTTTCCTAGCACTTACTGCCAAAACAGTGAGTTTTTTCTCTAGTAGCTGAGGTCTTTGGGTTTATCAAACACTAGGCAGCTATGGTGTTTGCTTGCTTCTGACCTTTTGATGGGCCTATTTCTAAACCAGTATGATTACTTCTTGGTAGTATAGTTTGAGATCTGTGACTGTTAGGTCCCTTGCTTCTCACTTCCCCCCCCCCCCATTATTTCTCTACCTCTATAGAGCTTTGGCTCTAAGAAAGTTAATTAATTTAAGTAGTTTTGTCATTAAGTTATTTTTGCTCAATGTATCCATGAGCAATCAGTATTATTCCAAGGGTGATTTATATTTGGATTCATCTAGTTCTTATGTGTATCTGGGTAGATAGACTCCCAAATATTATGTAGCTATTTTAAATGGCATTTCTCTTCCTGGTTTTGTTGATAATTAAACAGAAATGCTGATGATTTATTTATTTATATTTATTTTTATATCTTTCAAATTTGCTTCAATTTTTTGTTGACTAGGGTTCTCTAGAACATCAAATGATACTACTTTCCTCTTATGCTTATTCTCTTAATTTCTTTTGCCTTTCAAGCACTTTATTAAATAGTAGCAGTGATAATGAACATCCATGCTTTGCCCCTCTTCTTACTAGAAAGGCCCCCTAGTTTATCCCCATTACATACAATAATAGCTCTTGGTTTTAGATTGATAATAGTTATCATATTAAGGAAAGAGTTTTGGTTTTTTTTAACACTGAATTGGATTTTGTATTTCATTAGGGGCCTTTTCTGGATCTGTTGACAAACTTATCTTTTTATTGTCCCTTGTTATTTATATGGTTATTTGTTTATAGTGGGCTTGATATGAACCAATCTGGTCATAATGCATTATCTTTGTGATAAGTTCCTCTTTGCTAATATTTTATTTGAAATTTTTGCTTCAGTGTTTTTGTAGGATATATATGTATAGTTTCCCCTTTTCTATTTTCTCTCTGATTTAGGTGTGAAGAACAGATTTGTATGATAGAAGGAATTTGATAGAAAATCTTCCTTTCCTATTTTTTGACAGCATATTATATATAATTTGAATTAATTGTTCTCTGAATGTTGAATACAGGCTTCTTATAAATCTATCTGGTCCTATGGTTTGTCCAATTTCTGACATTACGTTGTTTAAAGTCTCTGTCTTGTTTTGTTAATCTGCATATTTTATATTTTTGTAAATATTCATCCATTTTACTTGCATGTTGGATAAAATATTCTCTAACAATTTACCTTGTCTTCATTTGTTGTCAATTTTCCTTCTCTTTTATTTGATTAAACTGTGTAAGGTTTTATTTATTTTGTTTTCCTTTCACAAAACAGTTCCTAGTTTTATTTTTTTAAATTAATTCAAGGTGGATTTTTTTTGCTTCCAGTTCTCAGTTCTTTCTTTCCTTTAAATTGCTCCTCACAGTCTACCCTCCCAGGTTAAATTTCTTTTATTTGTGAACCTTTCTGGACCTTTCCTTCCTCCTAATTTTCTCCCTCTTGATGAATTCACTTCTACACCAAAATCTTTGTGTGTGTTCTACCTACTCTCCTTTGACAAATTCAGATGAAAGTGAGGTTCAGATGATACCTACCTTTTCCTGTTTGTATAGACTTGTACTTGTATACTATGATTAAATGACAAATTTCCCCACCTTTCTTTCCTTTTTTTCTTCTAGGCTATATCTCTCCTTCTTCTTCAAGATTATCAAAACATAACAAAAGCACTCTCAGGCTTTCTGTCTTCACTCCTTCTGTGACCCCGATGACATTAGAGTTCTGGGGGACACATGTATTGTTGCTTCCTATTAGAGTGTAAATACAATGTCCTTATAGTCCTTCCTATTCCCTAATATTTGTTTACAGTTTTAACTGAGCTGTGATCTTTTCATCAGAAATGCTTGAAAGTTATCTATTTCATTAAAGGTCTTTTCACCTGTATGATTATACTCAGTTTTTCGGGTAAGATATTCTTGGTTGTAATCCTAGATCTTTTGCCTTGTAGATATTTATTATATTCCACACTCTCTGTAGCTTTATGTGGTAGTTGCTAGAACTTGTGTGATCCTGACAGTGCCTCCTCTGTATTTTAATTCTTTCTGGGTGCTTGCAGCATTTTTCCTTTGACCTGAAGCTCCGGATTTTGGCTAGAATGCTCCTGAGCTTTTATTGTTATTTCTGGAAATATTATGTCCAGGCTCCTTTTTGAGGAGTCAGTACAGTAATAGCACAGCTGAATAAGTCTCTCTATGATAGAGTAGGGTGCCAAAGAATGACTGCTGACATTCCTTCCAGATCATTGATGAGTCTTTGTCCCATTAGTTCCCATGTTTGCAAGGGAAAAGTAGCACTGAATCTTCAAAAGAGTGGTCTTCAGCTGAGTGCAATTTGAGCCTGAGAGAAGAGAAAAAAATTTACTCCTGTTCTCATTTATCAGCAAATTATTGTTTCACAATCTGGCCTTGAAGGTTTAGGAATACTTAAGATATCTCTCCTTGATCTGTTTTCAGGTCATTTTTATATAAGATACCTTCCTTTAATTTTTTTTTCATTCCTTTAACTTTGTAATTGTATTTCACATATCGTGAAATCATTAATTTCCAAGGACGCTAGGCTTTGTACCTCTTCTTTTAAAGAACAAAGGGACCACTCGGGCTGGTGAGATGAACAGTTCAGCCTTGTGGCATCTAATACGTTGGACACTGTCTGGCTGCCATCATGGACTTTTCAGGCTCCAGACCCCAGTTTGTGTCTAGGCAGCACAAGTGTGTATTTCCTCACAGGTGGAGCTTCCATAGACAGTTAGCCCTCAGCCCTTGCTCGTGCCCAGGAACTTAATCTGCAGCACGACTCTGGAGTCAGAGAAGCAGAGCCACCCCTCTGCTGTAGTGCCTGCCCTATGCATTTGAATGGGGATTGTATATGCTCCCTTGGGCTGGAAAAATGGCCCACTGTGGTTTTTCCTTTGATTTTGTAATCGCTGCTCAGTCTGGCATTCTTTTTAGATCTTTGTTGGGGCAGCTGGGCTATACTGCTTCTTCCACATCTTCTGCTCTTTTGACAGTTATTATTTTTTCCCAAGTAACCTTTTCAAGAAGCTTGAACCAGCTTTCTATGTGTTTCTTGCAGCCTCACCCAGTTTTCCCCATTCTGTGACAATACTAACTTCTTCCAAGGTGGTTGTTAGTATGATTCCCACCCAGGGCAGGCTGGGCTAACCTTTGCTTAGCAGCTGCCTCTCAACGGTGCTGAGTGTGCCAAGATTGTGGTGCCCAAAGTGTCAAAAAGACTGGCTGCCAGCTCAAGCATATGTGATAAACAGGATTCCTGAGCTTTCACTGACAGATTGTGAAACAATCATTTGCCGACAAGTGACAAGAAGAATGAAAATTTTTCTCCTTCTCTTCTTAGGCTCTAATTCTCCTCTGCTGAAGATTCAATGCTTCTTGCTCGCTGAAAACAAGGGAGTTGATGGGATATCAAGACTTACCACTGGTCTGGAGGGAATGTCAGCAGTCGTCTTGTGGCTCCCTTCTCTATCATCCGGGGAACTGCCCAACGAGACTACAACTCCTACTAAAGCCTCTTGGTACAGGTGAGTTCTGTCAGCCTCTCTTTTTACACTGTGCCATTAACTTTGACCATGTAGCCCCTCGTTAGGTCTTTCCTTCTGTCTTAGGTGACCAGAGAAAGCACCCTAGAGACTTGGCTCTAGACTTGAGTCACAGAATTATAGATTTTGAGTGTTGTAATGGACCTCAGCAGCTCTCAAGTCTAATCATGCATGGAATTCCCTCCCCTGAAGTGGAAGGGGTTTGAGTGGCTCTAAGTATTAAGGTTCAGTTTCCTTGTTCTAGGTACATGTTGTCCTAGGGTCTCTAACTCTGGGGATGTGGATCTCCAAGTCTTTGAGCCAAGAGCTTCGAATTTAATTCTTGAGGTCTTTAGTCACTTGCAGACTGCCATTTCCAAAGTAGGCTGCCTGTGCTCTCATCATCACCCTCACCTCACATTAACAGAACCTTGGACTCTCGCTGAGAGAGGCTAGGCTTTAATTGATGCACTTTCTCTTACCTTGCATGGAGCAAGGCCTTCACCCCATTCCTATCCCCCGTTTCCAAACCCTGCCACTGCATGCCTACTGCCCTCCCCCAGCAGTTAGTACTTGTTTTATCTGTCCTTCTAAGTCTATGGATTTTGTTCTCTAGGTCTGTAAGGTTACGTTTAGAATTGTTTGGTTTCTATGTCACTAAATCTAGAAATTTAGTTCCTTAAGTCTATAGGTCTCTAGGACTCCAGATGTAAGTCTGCACCTGAGTCTTGGGATTTAGTCCCCTGATTTGGTTGGGTAAGTCTCCCATGGATCTACTAGGTCTTTCAGCCTCTAGCTACCTGTGGTTCAAACTTGAATTCTTTGTTCCTCTCTTCTGACTCTCCTCTTTTCAGAGCTGTCTCCATGTATCCAACTCTTGGATTTCTCTCTGTTTCAGTGTAACTTTCCCCACTCTTGTTTCTGTTTCTTAAAACTATGCATCTGTCCCATATGAAACACATGTACTTCTCTGTATAGAACTCTCATAGCATTCTGGTTGGCCAGGGACTTAAGTGACTGCTGAGACCCAGCTCAGGATTAGAGGTGCTACTGATTATACTCTCATGCCCCTCTCTTATCCAAAGCTGTCTTCACTCACATGTGAAGAGATTCTTTCTTCTGAAATTCTCCTCAAGGTCAAAGGCTTTTTGGTTTTTGTATCCTAAGTGCCTGGCAAAATGGTTGAAATAAGATAAACACTTAATAATATTTGTTGATGGACTGGTTCCGTTTATAATAAATAAGAATTATATAGTAATAATCATAACTGCAAAGTCTTTGGAGAAGATTCTTCTTAAGTATTAGAAAATTATTAAATAGGGGATATTGGGAATTTTTTTTTGCTTGTATAATCAAAGGTAACAGTTTTCTTGAAAACATACCAATTTATAGTCTCGTAGTTTGCATAACTATAACTTGGGTTTTGGTTACTTTTTTATTCCTGAGAAACTTGTGCAAGAAGCTAAACTGGACTTTCTGGATACCACCCACCCTGTATCTGAAGATAAAGGGAGCTTCCATGGCCATTCTCAGGATAGTATGGAGGCTGTCTCCCTGAATTACTAAATGTCATTGTTCAGCTATGAGAATCTGCCTCCCATAACATCTGCTCCTTACAACAAGTTTATGTGCATGTATACCAAACACTAATCTCTAACCACACATGCCAGATTCTGAAGCAAGCATTTGCTTATAAGTGGAAATCTCTCTCAACATCCTTTGCTGGGCTGTGAGGAATGTCAGAGGCAGATATAATTTGGGGGCCATCCTGCTATACTGAAGCAAATTTTCAATAAAACCACCAACACATAGGGCTATATGGAAATGCCTGGATCTTGGGGTCTCTAAAATGTGGATTTAAATCTAAATGACTTCAGGTCTTGGACCTCTGAGACCTGAAGTCTCAGTTGTGAAGGCAATAGCTTTCAATGCTTTGGATTTTAAGTCCCTAGACTTCCATTCCCCAGGCCCTAGATTAGGTATCCAGAATAGTGGTCTTAAGGTATAGGAGCCTCAAGTCCTAGAGACCTAATCCCAAGCTCTCCTTGAGTATCTAAGACTCCAAATCTAGGTCTTGCTATTCCTCAGACCATAAGTACAAACATGGAGGACCTTCAGTTCAAGGCTTGATCTCAAGACTTAGAAACCTCAAAACCAGAACACTGGGAGACCTTGCCTCTTGTCTAGGGTAGAGGGGTCAACAATATAGCCCAGATGAAAATGTAATTAGGAAACTTTTAACAAAATACATAAAAAATGCAATAAGACATAAGTTAACAGGTGGTTTTCAAAATCAGTATGCTCCCACAGGGATCCTTATGTACACTTTAGTTTGACATGACTGGTCTAGGTCTCTTGGAGTTAGAAGTGCTGAGGTATTAAATTACCTAAAGACTCGGCCTTACAGGTAATCTTCAGACAGACACACTCTCTAAGTCCCTTAGACCTTAACTTGCATTCCTAGAAAACTTAAGACTTACATGTATGGAAGTTTCCTGTTGATGTGGGTTTACTGAAGCATAGCTGGATGAGCTCTGAAATATGCCTGCCTCCAACATTCTTCTCTTTCTAGGAATTGATCTTCATGTCCCATGCCCTCCTATGGCTGCGGAGGGCAAGTTATACTGGACCCTAAGAAGAAAGAGAAAAAAAGGGGGCAGCTAGGTGGCACGATGGATAGAGCACCAGCTCTAGAGTCAGGAGGACCTGAGTTCAAATCTGGACTCAGACACTTCCCAGCTGTGTGACCCTGGGCAAGTCTCTTAACCCCAACTGCCTCACAAAAAAAGAGTGGGGAAAAAAAGGACTTCTGTTGCCACTTAGCTCATTCTCCACTCATCCTTGCCACACATTCAGTGCTGTCAGCTATGGTAGAGAAGGGTAGAATGAACAGTTTCTCCCCATTAGCCTAAAAATGGTCCGTATCCAGTAAGTTTGGGAAAGAGCTGCCAAATCAGGGTAGAAAGGGACGGTCCTGTTCAAGTACTAGCCTGAGAACAGCCTAGGAAGAAGCTAGTAGTGTCTCGGAATTATGGAGCAGAACAGTGCTTGGTTGAGCTTCTTGCAAAAGCTACTGCTTGGGAGGAGGGAGAAATGAACACAAATCTGTTGCCATAGATGAAGTTACAGCTACACTTCCAAGAAATCGATCCATTCTTAACATGGCAGCAAAGTGGAATACACGTCCGCCAAAAGGAGGGGCTGCAATTGAGATCTCTGGATGCCTTCAGACGGGGGGCTCCAACTCTCAGCAGCCCACCTCAGGCAGGCACAATAAGAACCAGATTCAAATGGAATTTGGAAATGTTTTACAAAATAAATAAAAATGCAATACAACATAGATAATCTGTGGTTTTCTAAGTCAAGATGTGACCTCCAGGGATCCAATCCTACACAGGGCTTTGTCCATCAGTCAATATTTATTAAGTGCCAACTATTTGTCAGGCGTGATTCTAGGCACTTGAGGATACTATGATAGGAATAATAGAAATCTCTGGCCTCAGGGAGCTTCCTTTCTATCTGGGGAAACCACATGTACATGGCAATGGAAACATCACTACAGCATTGCTATGCGATATTCCCAGGGTGAGAGGGTGCTGGTGAGGGAGAAGGGTATGCATTTCACAATACATAACACCAATGGCATGTCGGACCACCTTCTGGTTCACAGCAAATGATCCCAGATAATGAGAGAGTGGTATACAGTAGTAAAGATAGCTCTAGAAAGAGTAATGTAGTGTTCAGTCAAGAGATGGAGATATATACAGACAAAAATTTAGAGCTACACTCAGACAAAGAGACTGTGGGCAATAAATTACTACAAAGTCATCCTATCCTCAGTTATTTTTCCTCTATTCAAGGGAAGGAGAAGCCAGTCAAACCACCTTGATCACACTCTCCCCTTGAATCCTGATGGAGACAGCCCAGGACCCTGAACCCAAGCGCCCCCCAAACTATCAGACCTGCTTCTAGCCTAGAGCCCACCTACTTCATCACCACTGCCAACAACTGCTGACCAACTCCCACCAACATGCAGATAAGTACAGGAGCCCTAGGAGTGACATTACCACCAGTAATGCGTGCTGGCCAAGTCCAACCACCACCATCATTCCACAGACACTCATGGAGAGAGCCCAGGACTCTTAGCCCAAGAGCCTTGGGAAGAGTAATGCTTCCAGTCTGGTGCCCCCAGCCATCATCTTGGGAAGGAACCCCAGTGGAGATGCAGCCTGGCTCCTGCAGGGCCTACAACCTCAGCAAAGCAAGTTCTTGCCCCCAGAGTCTTTCTCGCTGTCCAATGTGTCAACCTCAGAAACGGATGTGATTTTATCACTAGAAATGACATTAAAGTAGAGGCAATAGCATCTGCTTTACTGCTGCAGGCCCTTAGGACTATGGGATCTTTCCACAGATGTTGTCTCCCCTGTTAGAAGGTGACCTGCTTGAGAGCAGAGACTGCCTCACTTTTCTATTCTTATCCCCAGTGCTTCTGAGCAAATACTCTCTAAATAGGTGGTTTAGGTGAGAGGTGCTACGACTTCATCCCTAAAAAAGGGGAAGAAAAGCCCATCACATAACTTATCCAAGTGGGGTTTACTGAAAGATAGAGCATGGCTGGTCACAACATTAAGTACAAGGGTGCCACAATATGACTGCCTTGGACATCACAGGCAGGACTTGAAGTTTGGGAATAGACACAGACAGATCAGGGTAAGTGGTGCTGCCCTCAGGAAGAGTGTTTCCGTGACCATGATTATTCTTTTGGTCAGCTTGGCCTTAGCGTACATTAGTTAACCTCGGACTCACTGCTGTCTGGACAGACAACGAGTTCAGACCAGGGCTATCCTGAGAACAACTGTGAAAAAACATAGGGTTACCTTACATTGGGAAGCAAGGAGGGGAAGAAGCCAAAAATCCCAGTCAACTTTCTTTAAAAAAAAAAACCACTTAAGAGACCTGGAGGGGTGGACAAGACCAGAACAGTGCCCAACACAGGGCTTCCC